GCTTACAATTTTCTTTTATCATATGCTTATCATTGTGTATGGCTGCTTTTGTCTTAATAAATAATAAATATAAATATTTCCACGATCATAGTTTTCTTGTATGATTGATAGGTGTAGTTGAAATTTGGAATTCTCTACCAAACTTCAATTATTATTTTAAAAAGGAATCTCCCTCCCTCTCTCTCTCATGTTTGTGATATGTGTTTTTTGGCCTCAAAAAACCAGTGTTTTAAACCCTGACCCAGAACTTGAACCGTTTTTCCCTCTGGACCAGCTGTTATTGGTTCAACCATTTGGGTCAACCTGTGATGTCCCCGTCATGAAAAGCTTCAAAAACAATAAAATAATACAAGAACCTAGTAATGGGTTAATAATTCAACCACTTGGGTTAAGGGGTCATTGACTGATCATTTTTTTTTTGGTGTAAAATAACAGATTAGAGGTGACCCAAACCAGTGTTTTGGCCGGGTCACTGGTCCAAATGGCCGGGTCGATGACAAATTGGAAATACTGCATGCCTAAAACAAAATCTTTCTTCATTCATATCCACAAAGCCTTCAATGAGAAAGGATGCAACTGAGGGAAAAGAAAGAGATATTTGGCAAGGCCAACTTGCCCACCAAGAGACAAGAGCCCAAGAGGAGGTGCAAAAGCAGGTGTCTAGCTGTAAACTGAGATGTGAATTGAGGAGCTCGCACCCGCAATTCACGGGTTTGATAAACTTGGGACCTTCCCACTTGTGATCAGGCTCTCAGTGTCGGAGTTATTGCTCCATTGTTGCCTTTATAGAGACAGCTAGGTAGCAACTCTAGGGAACTGCTCGTCCCAATGCAGCAGAGGAGAGGAACCAGGCAGGCCAAGCAAGCCAAGAGAAAAAGTGGGGTGGGCTCTTCTAGGCTTTAGCCTTTCTCTTCATACATTGGGCCACGCCAAGCACAGCACATGGGAAGCTGCATCTCCACACTACACATTGTTAGAACATCACAATAGCACTTAAGTCTCCCTCCATTTCATTTCCAATGAAAATGCATCACAATTCACAACCATGGAAAACGCTTGGGTTTGGAGCTACTGTTGGACCCAGAAAACAGTCCTGAGGTCCCATAGCTTGTCAAATGCTCTGATATTTAGTGACCTAGTGATCTCAATACGTTTTTATGTATCGGTAGAGRTGTATTGGTACTTTAAACAGATGTATCTAATACTCAAAAATACGATCAATACTTTGAACCTTAATCTTCATTAAATGACGACTTTCATGATTTAAACTGATAAATCACCCGGTTAATCGATAAAACCGTGGCCCATTGAGCATTCCAATTTTATGTCTGGTCTGAATCTTACAACATTGGTTTAGAGGATTGTAAATTGCTGGTTTTACCAATGGAGAATGATTGGGGTTAAAGTGAGARTTGAGTCTTAGAGACAATGATGTCCATTGTTATGGTCTGTGTATGCATGATTCCACAGTTCCATTGTTCAATTCGTATTTGGATGGCCCTGTTACTCTTACTTTTGCCCTGAAACAATCACAAAACCAAATTAGATGGTTAAAAGTCATTCATCATACTGACTTTTGGGGTAAGCACCTTTTTTGGTGGATCCATCCACTTGTTATATAGTAAGGAAAAAACAAGTTGAGAGAAAGATATCAACGAATTTTACAAAATTGTTAAAAACTTTTCTTATTTATGTTTCTTCTGTCGAATCAAATATAGCATAAATGTCAAGCTTATAATTTTTCAACATTTTTTAAACCTATAGCTCAACAATAGGTCCCAATTCTTGAAACATTGTACAGGTGGCAGGTTATGGGGATAAAAATAGACATTTCAGTTTCAATATTTCTCTTACATAGAGTTTCAAGCATTGTTGCATAGTAGAAGTTGGGCAGTTTTTTTTTTTAGGTTTTCCACTTTAAAATTAATCTAAAACCATTTAATTTTTCATCTTTTTAATTTAGGAAAAATAATAAAGAGAGATGTCACAATTTATATTTCTAATATTGTTAAAATTTTTAATGTAGTTAGTAAGGACATCTTGTGAAATATGAATTAATAAAAGATAGATAGATTTTATCTTTCGAAGTCGACATTTAATGTATTACAAATGGAAAAATCTATGATACCAAAAAGACAAGGGATTAARCTAAATATATAAGAAACAAAGATTTACTAAGAGATGAATTATCCTTGAAGGAAGAAGAATTATTCTTAATGAGATGTGTTGGGCTGTAGACTTAGGTGAGGGAATCTCTATTTGGGATGACCCTTGGCTCCCTTCCCTTCAAGGAAAAAGAATCGCTGGTCCTAAGCCAGGGCCTGAATCACCTTCCAAAGTTTGCGATCTCATTGACAGTAGTTCTAGATCTTGGAAGGTTCAGGTTGTGTGCTCCACATTTAACGAAGCATATGCAAGCCAAATCTTAACTATCCTTCTTGCTAGGGGGAGTGGCAGGATAGATTTTTCTCCATCTAAGTTTTTGGAGGGAAAAATCTTCGCTGGGGGTATGAGAGTTGTGAATAAGGTTTCTTGCTACAAAATATGCAGAGTTGTGACTAAGGTTTCTTCTTCCTTTTTGAAGCTACGGTTGGTCTTGATGTTTATTTTACTCACTTTAAATAGAAGCTGTAATAGTTTAGCCCACTCCCTAGCTAAAAGAGGTCTTGAGGACCAAAGGCATTTTGTGTCTAATTGCCCGAACTCGTTAATCTCATTAGTTGTGACTGATTTCAATGGGCTTCCTTACGCTGATCATGTATTCTTTTTTGTTTTGTCATAAATGGAAAGCTGCTAAAGACACTTGTAATTTCAAAAAAAAAAAAAAAAAAGACAAGGTATTATAAGAACTATGGCCAATCAAAGCACCCGTGAACTTTTCATGAATAATACCACTTATTTATTTAGGCTGAGTTTGGAAAACATGCAAATGGAGTGTAAATCCCGGTTCAGGGTAAATTTGCACTCTGGCTCACTTTTGCTTGTGTTTGGCAATATTACATTTATGCATTGACAAATGATAGATCAATGCATATTTACATTGATAATAAGATGTAAAAGTACATCAATAAAAAAGAAGTAAATTTGCATTCAAGTGGGCTTTTGATAAAAAAAAAGTATAATCTTTATTGAAATTCATTTTTGTATCAATTACAGCTAAAAATCTGTTTTCTAAGAAGGTAAATTTGTCAGTACAAAATTAACCCAATTTTATAATTTATATGAACCATTTTACACTCTACATATTTGCATCATTTCCAAACATTTGAGCGAGTCTAAGTGGTGAAACCAGACTCAATCCATCAACCCTTGAGCCAGTAGGGAAAAGAAAAATATTTGCTTCAACTATAAATATCGAAATCAAAGGAAGAAAAAGGATAAAATACAAAAACCTCCCCTAAGTTTTCTGACAATCATATAAATTTCCCTTGCATTTTCACTATAACAAAAATCCTCCTTGTAGTTTTGGAAAAATATACAGTCATCATCCTTTCCTCATCTTAATACATTTATTTTTTTAGAATATCAGATTTACCCTTTGGCCTATTCATTGAAAGAGCACCTTGGCGGAGTGTCTCGGCAGTGCCCATTCTCATACGATGTTAGCAGTATGGTTTTTAAAAACGAATCGGTAATCGGACCCCAATTCGAATGGTTCGATTGAATGGCCGGTTCATTCTGACAAAAAAATAAATTAATTAATTAAAGAATTGGAAAACGGTCAAAACTGTTTAAATGGTTCGAACGGTTAATCGGCCGGTTTAGCGGTTTGTTGACCAAAATCAACGGTTTTGGGGGAAAAAGCGGTTTTAGAGGAAGGTCTATTTGGCCGAGTGCTGATAGGTCACACCTATGGGGAGAGAGAGTGTTAGAGGCCCCGGGTGTTAATTCGACGCAGGGACTCCGACGATCAAGTTAGTACAGGTGCAACACCAGGTGGGCGAGGCTTGAGGTGAGAACACCCAGACGAGGCCACAAAGGGAACTAAAGAGTTCTTGGTAATCTTGAGTCTAAATTCCAGATGTTTACCTTGAGAGGGTTGCCCCTTATTTATACTTGAAGTTGCTTGGAGGTAAGTGTGTTTGGACGATCAAGAAGTGGTCCTTCCTTGGGGAGTGCAGTCATCCAAGGTTGTCGCGTGCGGCCACGTCATTGGTTCCAAGTAGGGCACCAACCTCTGCTCTACGCGTACGCGTGTCCTCATTTGGTCTACCCCGAGCGCCGYCTCGTGCTACTAGAACAGGCCATGTGTGCCTACATCAATTGTTAAGCTTATTCTAGAGGAAACCCAAATTTGATAGAAACTTGTGAAATGTTTGATTGCCTCGTTCAATGTCATTTATGTTGTGTTTGGTTTGAAGRAAAAAGTAAGAGAAAGATAAGAAAATTTGTACGAATCTTGTATGAGTTTTCTTAATTTTCCTTTCCTTTCTCTACCTTTTCCTTCAAATCAAACACAGCCAGAGTTTTAGATCACTGACTGAATAGAAATAGAAATAGGTCCGTTGATCACAGAAATTGGATGGAAAAGAAAAACATGACGATATTAAACTTGAAACAGGTTTGATAATGGTAATTGGTAAAATATAGAAGAGGTTTACATGATTGTCAGAAAACTCACGAGAGATTTTTGTATTTTATCTTAAAAAATTTAAGGAAATACACGTGGGACCCACGAATCGGAGGTTCCTGGTTAATAGCATTTTTTCTCTTCGGATATGTGCAGTTGGTGCGCAATCCGCGCCACGACTGGCAAGTGGCAACCCTTCCGAGTTCCGGGTTCCGACCTCGCTTCGCGGATAAGGCAAAAGAAGCACCAAGAAGGTAGGAACGAACCTACTGTCGATGTGTCCGGACCCACCCATATTCCAGATGCACGGTAAGAATTGGATTTGTGAGGCTGGCAACAAAAAACAACTAGTATGCTCAGCATTTTTATTTTAATAAATGAGCGAGCAACCGTGGTGCAGTCAGCTAGTCACCCATTCACCGATAGGTTTCAACTTTCAAGCCTTCAACGACTACACATGTTTTCTGCTTTCGTTTTTTTTGACCTCTGCTTTCCTCCTGCGTAAATTTAGAACCCTCTAGGCCTCCACTACCTCCACAGTTAATCTGCGTCGCAGTATTATGAATAATTGATAGAACCTTCGTTCCTCTAAATACCCAGATTCCAATCCAGCGGTTACCGAATATGGTCCATTGTATCAAAACAAACGAAGCATGTGTGAGGCGCCGTGTGAAGGAGGAAATCACCGACCATTGAGTCAAAAACTCAAATCAGCCACTCCAAATTCGAAACTTCCCCACCAGCCCAACTATTTTTTGTTATTACTTCCCCCCCCCTTCTACCTGCCTTCACACAACCTTTAAAATCTCTTCTCTCCTTCCCTGTCCCAACTTTCTCCAGTCCTCCATTTCTCTCCGTCTCTCTATCCTTCCATCTCTCTCTCTCTCTCTGAGATTCTGATTTCGATGCCGCAAGTCGATCTCGAAACGCTGGTTTGTGGCGGAGGCGGCGACGGGAAGATCGCCTGCGAAACGCTTATCGACGACCATAATCTACTGCCGGAGAAGCAAGATATTCCGGAGACTCTACCCGACCAACCGGCCGAGTCCTTTTGGCTGTCTAAGGACCAAGAACTTGATTGGTTCGATCAGAACGCCTTCTACGAGCGCAAAGAATCCAAGAAGGGCACCCCCAATAGCAACTTCAGTTCTAACCTCAATTCCAACTCCAACGCCAATTCCAATTCCGCTTCTCAGCGCTTCTCCTTGAATTTGAAATCCAAGGCTTCCATCATCGGTCTCCCTAAGCCACAGAATTCCTGCTACATCGACAGTAGGTTCCGCCGGAATTGCCGACCGTCCAACATCCGTTTTTTTCCTAAGAAATCCTACCAGGCGTCCGGGAGATCGGTCATACCCGTTGCCGAACCGTCGTCTCCGAAAGTCTCGTGTATAGGAAGGGTTAGGTCGAAGAAGGACCGAAGCCGCCATCGTTGGAGAAACCGTCGACAGTCCACCGAGAAGACTGAGACAGCCACTGCACCGACTACTCCTGCTGCACCAACCACGAAACTGGTGAAATCCAGGATCTGGGCGAGTTTCAAGGCAATATTTCGGTCGGGTTGTCGGGCACAACAAGCCGTCGAGGTCGACGACAACCCGTCGCATTCTCCGCCGCGCGAGAGTTTCGCGTCCACCCAGTTTAAGTCCCCGGCCAGCGAGCCGGCGGCAGATCCACCGGGGCTGGGAGGACTGAAGCGGTTCGCATCGGGTCGGAAATCCGATTCTTGGCTCTCCGATGACCTGGACGAATCGTTCGACCGCGATAGTATATGGCAACGACGTAATGTGGACCCACTTAACGAGGTCGATTGCCGTCGGGACTGGGAGGTAGTGGGACCCGCATCCGTTTGATAAATGTGATGATGATGACGTGGCAGAAACGATGAATAACGGTTACCCGGGTCAGGTAAAAGAACTACTATGTACTGTACTGGTTTGTAATTTTGTCTTTTCCGTGAGTTTTTTTTTTTTTTTTTGTAAATATATAAACCGGAAAATCAGTGCGAGTACGAGAGACGAGGCTATGAACACTGAACACGATTTGAGTGTTTCCTTTTTGCATTTTTCTTGAACAGCTGTAAATTATTTTGTGATTTTTAACAGTAAGAAACGATCAGTATTCAGTGCGCAGTACGTATGTGCAGGAGGTTAGTGTGGAGGGGCACAGGGAAAGGTGGGGGTGGGGTGGGTGTAATGAGGGTAGCGGCGTAGGTTAGAGTTCTGGTGGGCAGCATGGGCTGTTGCAGTCAAACGAGGAAACTTGATTTCGTGGGTTGTCACTTGTTAGTGGGGGGAAGTGAGAGGAGTCCAAATCACTCTCCAAGTGGTATTAACACGTGGCCACTGAGAAGGGTGTATTGGTAATTTTAGTTGAGGTTTGTTACATTACCAAACGAAATTCGGTGGTACGTGCCTATCCCATGTGCCGATGGTGCCGTGTCTCTGGATTCTGTATTTAAAAAATAAAAAACTTCTAATAAGTACCGACAGATCCAATGCAAATTTCTGATTTTCACTGGAGAGTTATAAACATTCTGAATTGGCATCAATTCCGAACTGGTGCATATCCCAAATATATTTAAGCTTATAAATTCTGACTCTGGACTTAACTGTCATTCTCTCAAAAACTTTATTTGTTTTGAAAAAACAGCCTGAATTGTTTTATTTGCTTGGGATGAAAATAAAATAAAATAAAACAAAAAATAATCTAAAGCAAAAATGAACCAGAGTTTACACTTTCGTCATGCAAACCTTATTTCAACCATATAGGATTGGTTACATAAATCCTATTTTATCATTTCTTTCTGTTTGATTTCAGATTGATTGTTAAGATTATGATTGTTAAAATCAATTTATTCATTTTGAATGATGTCCTTTTTGGTTTACACTTATCCCTTTTAGTCTCTTCAACTTGCAAGAGATCACTCACTTCTTAAGGGAGCTGTCTTGTCTTCTTATGGACAGAAAGCTATTCAATTTGTAAATTTTTAGTTGATGAAACAAATAACAAATGCAACCATTGAAAAGAAAATTATGAAAATATAGTTCAATTTATTCCATTTATTGCTTCAATAATGGCCTTCTGGAACACATTTACATGGATACTAATAAAAATGAATTATTATTTCAAAAATACTACCATTTCTATCTTTTATTGATTTCAAAAATCACTCTTCTTTTGTTATTCGGTATCATTTCCTTCATGTCAACCAATTTTTTAGAAATCACTTTTGAGATTAATATTGATTCTCAATAGTTATTATTTTTCATTGAAGCACTTGAACACCGTCTCGCCCGTCACATAAGATGCCACCTCATYCAAGCTGATTTCAGGGATTTTTTTTTTGCTGATTTTCCAGAAATCGACATAATCAGCCAACCAAACAAGGAAAAAATCACTGTTACTTCAATTTCTGATGCAAATCCAATGTAGTACCGATTTCTAGGAAATTAACATCAATGCCAAACATCACCTAAAAATGAAGAGTTTCATTACGCATTTCTCTAAAGTACCATACCTGAAAGAACCAAACAGTGTATATCATAGTCTATTTTCAATTATCAATTATCCCGTTGATTTGAAATGAAGGTCTACCTTGCTTGTGAAACTACTCTTACAAGGAAAGGGATTTCATTTCCATCCACAACTTAAAACAGGGGGAATTTAAAAATTCTGAGAAATTAGTTGGCAGCACATGCTTTGCTGATGAACGACCAAAAATACATGTTTGAGTTGACAGCCCATTCCCACAACAATCTTGTCCCGTGGTCTGCTCCCTTGAACACTTGAACCTTGTGAATCCAATAAAAAACTTCTATATTCATGCCAAACTCGTTTCCATAAATTAGAAATCTCACATTTATATTTGCATACTTGAGACTGGATGGGCTGGAGACAAAATCATATTCAACAGGTTGAGCAATGCATCACGAGGGAATACCATTGTTCATCTTAAATGTACAGAACACTGGTGCATTCACTCGTTATGGGTTGCTCTGCCCTTCCGCTGCATAAGAATTTGTCTCCAGCCAATCTGGACTCTCTTTACTCTCTCCATTTGATCTCTCCCTATAGGAATTTCAAAATCCATCACAAAAGTAACTGAACTCAAACAATGGAATTGGACCCTGTATTATATTCCACTCACATCAAAAGTCAAAACACATGTTTTTTTTTCTAATATTTCAACTGTTAGTTTTCTCTTGGATTATGGTCTAACATACGAGTAATCTAACGTAGATCAAGTCATTATATGACCATTAAAGACATACATACATGATATTAATTAGAAATATATGATATCAGAAAAACTTATAACAAGTCAAACAATATCATAAAAAGTGGTAATTAATCAGGTGGTGATACACACACAAATCTTCCCTACTTTCAGCATATAAGAAAAAAAATTAAAATATATTAAACAAAATAAAATTTTATTGCAAATTTTGCACAGATTGGCAACAATTTTAAGTTATAAACTTGTATTTCTTTTTCCAAAACACATGGATTCACTTTAGATAATGACATTATTAATAATTTAATTATGTTCTATTTTCTACTCTTTGCTAAGTGAATGGACATCTGCATATATCTAATCCAGCTGATGGATCAAAGTCAACAATTGCATGCTTTATGTTGACCTGAGAATGTTGAAATCGTGTAGCCTTGTATTTCAAATGCTTTCAATCAATTGCTATACATTCCAATTTTCGAGTCAAATATTTGAACTTTAGGCTGATTGTAGAGTTATTGCCTAGCATATAAGCAACCCAAAAGTGTGCTTTCAGCTTGAAATTTGCAACCCAACAAACTTGATGGTACAGCTCGACCCAGGTTTTCACCAATTTTACGGTGACAATTTTGCTTTCCATGCCATTCACATCGAAACAAATTTGAGTGGGTTGAAAAAAAATTTCACTGCCAATAGAATGAAATTAATAGCTGAAAATGTTTGAAACATGTCATCCAAATCTTTGATGAGTATGTTTTTAGAAAGTTTCAAAGTGATACGTGGTCAACAGGACTGGATTTCTCTGAAAATTGAACGATTCTAACTTGCCACGTGGAAATCTCTTGGCCACGTATGACTAGGACTAGGAGTGAATCACCCGCATCAATGGAGGGAAGATCTCATTGTTTCACGCAGGATGGGGATGTGCTTGACTCGTGCGTCGCGTGAGAACTTTTTGCACACAGAATCTTGCCAAGATATTCACGTATCATGTGAATCAACCGCTCCGTATGGCCCATAATTCTTCACTTTGTGGGCACCGACACTTTTTGCCCATTAATCACTATTCACTAGCTTAGACTGTTTGATTGGACGTTTCACCTTGAGATTTTATTAATTATAGGCTTGTGGCCCATTGAAACTCTTGGGCTCAGATTTTCAGGTCCATCGGCCCATAAGAATATATAGCCAACTAGAAGGTCCTCTTGCTTTACAAGAATACATAGCCAAAGTAAAAGTTCCCTTGGATCAAAGGATCAGTGGTTTGGATGGGTCGGCGGTTCTTTGTAAAATAGTGGGTTGGAGGTTGATCCAAACCGGTATTATGACCGGGTCACAATCATCGGTCCAACCAATTGGGTCAATTATAGATTGAAAACAATGCTACAAATAGAGACTCTAGAAGCTGGCTGTGAGTTGAAGATATCTTGGTGATACAAGATTTTTCTGTAAACTTGTTATATAATTGAATAAATGTATGCTAGTTTAATGACCAGTGAAAATTCTCAACCAATTACTAGAAAATTGAGCACATCTGATCTCATCTGGTTACTGGTTAGGGTTTGTGAGCAATATCAAGTTCAATGGAGTTCTGATTTCAGTGCCTAAACTATGAAAGACCAAAGCTCAGATGAAACTTTTGCCACCAGGAACAAAGTTCTGATGTGTCACGGGCAAGTCATTAAACCACGGGTGCTTTCTTCTGCACAAAGTGGCTGATTTCAATAATTAGGATTAGTTGAACAAGATGGCTGTTTAGCAGGCTGTAAAACCAATGGTAGAATTTGGATTTCATCCTCACAAAATTGGTCCTCACACTATCCTCACAATCCTTTTAAGTCGTGCATGGGAAACGCCTTTCCATGAATGAAAACATGCAATTATGGAGATGCTTCCAATGTATGGCTGCAATTGTTGTAAGGACGTTGTGCGGACGAAATCTGTTCTTCCAATGATAATGCCCCGCGCCAGTCAAKAAATGCATGGGCCCCACAAGCGAGAGGTTGAATGATGTGGGTCTGATGTATTTTATGGCTGGTGTGGGGCATTATAATTGCTTCCACAGCCTGTTAAACAGGTCCAGATCTCCACCCACCAAAGAAATGTTCTAACATGATCTGTGTCCACACATCTCATACATGGTGGGTCCTAGTTTTATGGTGAGATGTGCAGACACATCATGTGACGAGTGTGGGATCAGTTCTTGTTAGCTGAAGATTTTACCATTACACCAAGAAATTACCCCCTAGACTATTCATAGATGTGATCATAATATGACCTTTGTTTGGTATAGTTATCATCATGCATATAAAGAACAAGCAAATAATTAATTGGCTGGGGCTGGATAAAAATTCTTATTCTTAGTTGAGGTTAAAGATACATACAATCAATGATGTATGTCTAGATATGGATATGGACACGGATATAAATATCATTTCTCATATAATATATTTAAATCATGGATTTATTTCTGGTTTTTTAAAGTAAAATATCAAATTTTTAAGCAATATTGTTTCTTAACTGTCCAATGCTTTGCTCCATGCTACATAAATCATTGTAAGACCAGCTCTAAAAAATGGGTGTGACAAAAAGTAGTTCAAATAATAAGTGATAAAATGAGAGAAAGTAAATTGAAATGATTTCATCATGTACAAAGAAGACCATTTACAACACCCTTATAAAAAATGATTCATTAAAAGTTAATTAAAAGGGGCTAGAAGAGTTAGAGATATAACAAAAAAAACTCCATAGAAATAAAATAAAAATAATGTAGCAAACCCCATATAGTTAGGACAAGACTTATATATCAGATGTAATGCACGTGACTTCCTACACTTCAGTTGAGTCTGTGATACATGTCCCATTACATGTGAGTGAAATACTCATGAATATGAGACCATTATGTAATGGGACACCTGTTACATACTCCAATTGTAGCAAATCTCAAAAAAATATCCTCAATAAATAGTTTAATGCACTGTTTTCAAAACTGGACCAGATCGGATCGGAAAAACTGGGAACCGGTCATCTGATCGATTCTGTTTTCTTCCAAACCATTTTTTCCTCTAAAATCATTGATTTTGGTCAGCAAACCGTTGAACCGGCCGGTTAATCGTTCGAACGGTTTTTACCATTTTCTAATTTTTTTTTTACTTTTTTGTCAGAATGGGCCGGCCGTTCCAATCGGGATCCGAACCCCTGACCGATTCGATCACCAGTTTCATTTTTAATAGTAATTTGAGTTTAATCGACCTCAAAATTCATAATACGATCGTACAGTTCGGGTCAGTGTCAAAAACCTCTAATACTAAATCACTCAAAAATCAGAAAATGAAAAAGAGATATGATTGGTTTCATTGTTGTTGTTGGTTATCCGATCCAATCAATAATTTGATGAAGCAACTGAGAAGGATAACGCCGCATTGTTAATGGGCTGGTCAAAAGTTGGTAGGAATTCGTGGAGAAATTGATCTTTATTTGTTATTGTGGTTAGGTTTTCCATCTTTTCCTCATTTCAAAAGCAAACCTTTATTTTGGGGCAAGTTTTTTTATTTTTTTAATCTTTAAGCTTTCCTGAAAACCAAGCTCTAAGACCCCTTTTAGTTCACGGGAATAGAGGTCTGGAATCGGAATGGGAATTGGAATGAGCTATTTAGATTCTGACTGTTTGGTTGAGCGGAATCAGAATTTCATTTTCATTCCYGATGGAATGACATTTTTCCATTTGAGGGAATGACCATTTCTTGTGTTTTTCTTGGGAATGAAATCTCATTCCTACTGATTCCAATTCATATTCTCATTCATGTCTGAACCAACAGATTATGGGAATAGACCATTCCAATTCCAACTGTAAATCAAACAGACCCTAAACATATAATACATCTCCATACATTCTGCTGCAACTGGCTGTATTCGGTTAAGGATTCATTTGATTCGTGAGAATAGGGGTCCAGAATCAGAATGGTTTAATTGTTTGATTGGGCCGAATTAGAATTTGATTCCTTTTCTTTTTTTTTTTTTGAACGGCATTCCCTGATCAGAGGGAATGATCGTTTCTTCCCCTTCCTTCCCGGATCCATTCTATCTGGTTTTGATTCCTATTCACATTCCCATGTAAATCAAATAGCTAGGAAGAATATACTATTTTGAGTTTGATTTCAGCAGACTTTGTGGAATGATTTTTTTTAATTTCTTTTACTTCAAAGAATCAATTATTAGGATGAGTTTGGTTCTTACAATTTTCAGAAATCACAACTTAAGAGTGCTTTTTGGAATTACAAAATTTATCATCTAATTTGGGTTTCTAATTTGGATTGTTTATTAGTTTTATTAGACAGTCTGCTAACCAATGATTGTGTGTGTATGTGGTTGGTCGGCTCAGTTTGAAAAGAGTACAAAAGCAAATATGTACAGTGTAAATATATACAAAATAATAAAAAATATAAGGTTATGCACTCTACATATTTGCATTTGTACTCCTTCCAAATTCAGCCTCATTTTTCAGCTCAGATGCAAACATTACAGGTGAAACAAAGAACTGGCAAATCCTCCTTGTGGTCGATTGTCAACACCAAATTAAGGGTGCCAATGRACCATTTTTGGATTGGATCCCGTCCAAATCAAAATCAATTTGGATGGATTGGACGGACCAACAAGACATATTGAATTGGACCAGTCCAGACTTAATGGTTCAAAGTATTTCTTGGATGGGATTGGACTTGGTCCATCCATAGATGAATTTATATTGGATTGGGTTGGATTGGATTGAGCCAATATCTGGTTCATTAATAGAAGATAAAAATATAAGTGTCAATGGACCAGGTTTGGGTTTAAAATTAATCTAAATTAAAACAAATTATACGGTTCAAACATTGAATTGGACCGATCCAAAATGGTCCAAAATATTTATTAGATTGGATTAGACCTAATCCATTTGTAATGAATTCACATTGGACTGTATTGGATTGGACCAAATTCAGTCCAATTGACACCCCTCCACCAAACTACTTTCAGTTTTCGTACTTTGTTTCACCCTAGTAAGCAGCGTAGGGGATCTGGAATGTAATCTCTAATAGTTGAGGACATATGGACACCTGCTTAACGGGTTGGAAATGGGCTGAATCACCCATTAGAGGTATATAACTTGAATGGGCCTGATTCAAGTCCGGATTGATCCAGTCTACAATTTTATATGGACTGGACAAGGATTTTTGGTGATCGGGCTGGGCCTGGGCCTAGAAATTGGGCCTTTTTATTTGTATGTATACATATATACTTGCATACATAAACAGAAAAATCTATAATTTTGGAAGGACATAATACTGAAAGGGCATTGACCAATAAAAAACCCCTGCGAATTTGATAATTAACCACCTCAATGGTTATTACTTTTTAGTTATGAGTTTTTCCAGTATCATAGTTGAATCCTACATAAAAATATACTACATTAAATTTTAATGTAAACTGATTGACCAACCCGAGCTTGACTTGGATTTAATWGATTGGAATTAACCTTGGGTTCGGGCCTTAAGCCCAATTCTTAAGGTTGGACCTAAGTTGAGCTTAAACATGACCCAGCCTGCCCAACTTGCACCCCTATCATCCATTGGATCGACTTAAATGATATATAACTTTATCATTTAAAGGTAGAATGGAACATATTGTATCAATACTTTTAACGTGGTAGGCCTAAACAAGTTAATAAAAAGTTGATCTTTTGTATTTCTCCTTCATTGCTCGTAATGTATATCCATGGCAACTTTGTTGATAATGGTGTCTACGGTTCACAAGCTTACATAAGAGAATTTTTTAATTTTCACTAGTTTTTGTGTTTCTCATTGTATAGATATATCTTTCGCCCATTCAATGGCTGCACAGGCCTTGAGTTGTTCTTGTAGCCTGGTTCCAAAAGAGCTGTAAGATTATGAACCTGTTCTTTGGATATTTCTCTCACCTGCATGAGTGCAAGCAATTAGGTATCAGACTAAAACTGACATGGAAACAAAACTACTTTTCTATCTAAGTGATAGGTCAGTGATTCATTGACCTGGCCATGATATCATAAATTAAATAATAAAATATAAAAAGTGAATATAATTATAAAATAATACAAAAAATATAAAAAAGCTGGCATGTCTCCAATATAATATATTCATCATAATAAATAGAAATAAAATGTGATAAGTGATCATTATTGTTATTAATGATGGGATAACTAAAAATTAATATAAAAACAAAATAAAGAGAATTAATGTCTAACCCATGACACCCGCTGAGCCACTTGATCATCAACCTAGTTAATGGTTTTTGCAAATAAGTTGCTAGGGGTGAAATGGACCCAAAAATCTCGCCTTAGGTGATGGATTGAATAGTCCCATTGGCCATTTCAACTATGGGTTGAAAACATTGATGATACCTAATTTAATATTTATCAACCAGAATTACGAAAATGGTTTTGTTTTCTGAAAATCACGTCCCAAGAAAATCAATCATCAGTTTCCCTTCACTATACATAATTTTATATGTATAATGATAAAACTATGATAAGGCCCATTTGCTTATCGACCAGTTACTTACCCGGGTAAGTGAGTTTACTCGTGTTCTTTTATTTTCCAGGTAAACAAAGTAATGATAATTTAAGTCATAAAAATCCATTATTAAAAGAGGTATTTTTGTCTCATAGAGTATAAAATGGTCTATATAAAGTGATGCCTAGAAAAATAAATTTTTCCTGATCCTCATATAAATCTGAAAAAACAACATGAATTTCTTGATCGATGAGAACCATCAACTTCCTCCTGTCAAAGTCTAAAAAAAGTACGCGCTATTAATGATACAGTTAAGTACCTTGCCAAGGATAGTCCAGATAACGTTTTCGGTACAGGGAGGAGTGGTAAGAGAACCGACATATCTGTAATATTTCCGAGTGCTTCGCTTAATTTGCTTGGTTCTCACTAGGCTGATAGGGATATGAGCTTCTTCATCGCCTGCACAAATCTCCTTGGCCAGCTCATTTATGTAGCCCTTTAGCTATAGTTCCAAGAGAAAATAATTAGTCTAGTGAAACCAGTAATCTAAGTAAGCTTATAGCTGGTCTCAATTAATCTTTGTTTTGTTTAAAGAGTGGAAGGAAATATTAATGTTGCAATGCTGTGCTGACCTGAAAGAGAATCGGATCGGGATCACCATATTTGTAAAGGATCGCCACCACTGCTAAACTGCCATCGTCGGCCGCGTGAACTAGATGAAGCTCCGCAGCATGGCTGTAATTGTTCAATATTTAGTTACTGATTATCCTTACTAAATTGAATTAGATGAACCTCCTCGGATTATCCTTACTAAATTGAATTTTAATCTGAATTTGGACCAATTGGGTACCATTTGCAGCCCTCGTCATGCTTTTATGAAAACTATTGTTGGTAAAGAAGGAATTATTTAAGAGGACCAAATAAAAGTAAAATATCCAGAAAAAAGAAAGAATTAATATCTGAACCATGACCTACTTTTCAGGTCAAGCAATCAATTGATGATCAGGTCACTAGGTCATTGACGAGGTCAACGTTTTAGCAGGTAAAAGGTTTGTGGGCTAATCCAATTGAATGGTTAAATCGCGGATTAAAAACAATTTGCCAAATGCCAACCTATGCCAAAACTCCTATTTATAGATTTGTCACAAAATTTCTTTATTTTTCATTTTGTTTAATTTAGAGAGAGAGAGAGAGGACAAACCGGACTCCATCAATTGTGTGCTCAGAAGGGGAATGCCAATGCATTTGTAGGAGGTTGTAGCTCTTTCCATCTATATCCAACACTCCAACGCCATGCCCATACAGCAACTGCACCAGAGAAGAAGAAAACAAATGAAAACCCAACTTATCAAGATCTCATTCTAGTTTTATATCCTATCCTATTTGCCAAGAAAACCATTACACTTGTCAATTCTTATAGATCTTTTACAAAGGTTTTTAAAACTGAATCAGACAGGATCTGGTTCCCAGGCCAAACGGTTTAATCATTCGAACCAAACAGGCAATCCGTTCTGATAAAAAATTAAAAAATGACCAAAATTATTGAATGGTTCGACAGCCTGAGTCAATAATTTACTAACCAAATCAACGGTTTTTAAGAAAATAACGATTCTAAGATTTTCCTGATTTTCCAGTCCAATCATCCCGTTCGGTCCAGTTTTGATAACCATGGCCCAATATTTCAGTTAGTCATTCAGCACCCCTTCGTTTGATAAGGCACAGAGTCAAAACTATGGAAGAACAGACTGCAGTGGGCCTGCCCATGCATCCCTGTTACCACTAACCAGTTAGTGGGGTTGCATCGCATGTAGCACCTGCCCTCCCATGGGGTGATAGGGCCAAACTCCAAAGCCACATCACATATTTTATGTACCACTTCAACCAAGCTTATCATTCACTCTGGATTTGCAACCCACACGCTATCCACAAGACATGGGAGCCGTACATCAAGAATATTGACATGTCCCGGATGTGTAGCTGTATTCGATGTTCCTGATGTGCGGTTATAGTGTTGTTTCTTTTATTTTTTTACGAGGATTGGTCTTAGGCATGTTTATCCCATCAAAGTGGCCAAACCCTAAAACAATTGTTATTCAGCTATCAATGAATATTATTGTATCCATATTTTGAACCCTCGTTGTCAGTAAGAGATCTGAGTTCACTTTCCATTGGGTTGGGTGTAAGGGGTATTGATCTAGACTGGTTTCAGCCAGGCTAATAGACAAGCAAGCCCCGGTACGGCTGTATGGACCATTTTACCTTTTTACGTACAAGCCAAGCCACAAGCAGCCAGAAAATAACAATATACAATGCAGTCTATAACTCGACCGGTGCACACAGAACTACGTTAAACCAATTTCTGATTCATTGCATATATCTTATAGTGTCCAAGCAAGCCAAGCACATCCAAACATACTCAGTTTCTAAATTGTTGTTTGTTGTGGTTTTTGGCTTTGGTTCCATAGAGTTGACATGCTATATGTAGGGTTCAGGGTTGCAATTTGGGTAGGCTTGGATTGAATTTTTATCAAATGTTAAATGGACCCGGCCAAGTGATAGAGCCGGGTGCTGTATATAAGTACCCATAAAAAAAAAGCATATAAGTACGAAGATATTCCTAAGGTGTGATTTTAAAGACTGTATAAACAGTATAAGTACAGTCTTATGAGCACTGAAGCCGATCTCTAGCTAGAYCCAATTAACAGGCTAGTGGGGATGTAAGTAAGTCGACTTGCATGTACAATGCATAGAACCTGCCTTTTGCGGTTTGAACCCTAGAGAGTGACATCTGCTGTGGCCATGGTTGCAGAACTCCCTTATCTTATGATACTTAGTGATGAAAATAAATCAGCAAATCATGTGATGTTTTGAATTTTAACAAAAGGCTGGCTGTCCAAGACCACATCTCGTGTGACCACAGTTGTAGCACTTCCTTYTGGTCCTCCAATTGAATAGAGACAGGCTAACATTTCATTAAAATAATCTGTTTTTTCTATTTTGAATCGGTAAACTGTAAAATTTACATTGAAAATGCATGATTGGATGGATGCATGTCCACTGGGTCGGAGCCAAGTAAAAGATGAAAGGGTCCTATTCATGGTGGATGATAAGGCCATGCCTCTTTGTTTCTAGAAAGTTTTGTATATTCCTATGAATTGGCAATCAACACAACACTCCCAACACTATCCCAACAGCCCATGCAGCCTTACATTTGAAGCATCTTCCTTCCCAATGTACGACTGTAATGTGTTGTTAAGACATTGTTGGGAGCAGATCTGAACTTGAACCGAACCCTTTCCTCTTTTATAAAAGGAGCGAAAGCCAATTCATCATGGTTGCGGCTGACATGGGCTCAACGTGTCAATATTTAATTGAGGGATTGACACGTATCTATCAAGATCAGAGTTTGCTAACTTGGGAACTGGAAATTAACAAGCCCAAGTTGAAGCAGGTTGGAATCAACCAAAACAATTAACCCGGCCGGACCAACCAGATTTTGCATACATAACAAGAGAGAAATTGAGGGACATAGAGAAACAAACCCCGTACCCCGATTTGGAAGCCTCTATTAATTAACGTAGCATTGGCAGAACTGTAATATCTGATTAGAGGCTGCAATTTCGGATTGTAGACCACTTCATCCTTGACAATGTTCACGGGAGACTGCTGCTTTCCTGTTGAGCATACAGAGAACTGCTGGTTCAAGCTTCCCCATTTGTTAGGGCCGGTCGAGCCAACATAGCTAAACGGGATGTATTCGTGCTCTAGATAGCAAAGAATAACCAAAAACAAGAACCCAGAATTAGTGGTTAAAGTAATGAAGCACGACCCAAGGAGATAATTTTTTTTTTTTTTCTTGTTGGATTCATCTTCTCATGCTTCAGCTGAAAAAATCAAGAAACAATTTCACAAGAAAAAAGAAAGAATAAACTACTCTTCATTCCAGGCTCTCACTTTCCTTAGAAAGAAACATAAATAAATTCAAAAATAAAAAATGCAGAAGAAAGCAGAATGTGTGTTTAGAGAGAGAGAGAGATAATTAGCTAGAAAGAAGAAACAAAAAGAAAACAGAAGTAATGGTTAAAATAATGAAGAACAACCCAAAAAGGAGGTAAATTTCATTTTCTGGTTAGATTCAGCTTCTTCTCATGCTTCAGCTGAGAGAGAGAGAGAGAGATGAACATATGATGAAGGATAAGTGAGAAGAGAAGAGTGTTTACGTTGGGTTAAAGGGGTGGCGAGCAGGAAAACAAGTCCGGCGATGAGAAGGGCGACGGGAGCTGGCATATTTGGCGATGTATGTCTTGAATTCTCTCCCTATCGCCTCTCCCCCTCCTTCTGACCTGTTCTTGGTCTGGCTCTGGGTATGAACCAGAAAAGATTGAGGTTCTCTTTGCTTATACTTATACCACCTTCATGTGGCTGAGGTTATGGTGGTTGTTTCATTCACCACCAGGAGCCACCCCAACTTCCAGCTAAATTTAGAGAGAGATTTGTGGCTAGACTTAGTTGGTCTTCCTCGAACATCTGGAGTAGTCATTGCCTATATATAGAGGTGGTTCGCATTTGAACACCTAAGTTCTAAGTTGGAGAGAGAGAGAGAATGGAGAGAGGTTGGTTCTATATATGTACTTTAATGTATGGTTTTCAAAACCGGATGGGATGGTCGGATCAGAAAAATCGGAAACTAGTCAGGTGTTTTTGTCAAAAAAAAATGTTGATTTGATCAACAAACTGCTGATTCAGACAATTGGATCGAATGGTTTTGACCGTTTTAATTTTTTTTTAATTTTTAATTTTTTATTAGAATAGTTCAACCCAGAAACCAACCCCTGACCGGTTTGTTGTTGGATCGATTTTAAAAACCTTGATTTAATGACATGAGGTGGATTCCTTAGCAGAGAGAGAGAGAGGTTTTATATACTTTAATGACATGAGGTGGATTCCTTAAGCAGATACATTGCTGTGAGGAAGCAGAGTCGGATAATATAAACCGACAGATTGACCATGTCTTATTCTTTAAATATAATCTGAAATGTTTGCTTGAATTCCTCAGTCCTCACTATTTTTTTTCTCTTGGGTAGATGGGACAAAGAGAAAATGTCATATGAGACTGATCATCTTCTGGTAGCATGAGAGGCGGACGATTTGGAGTATTGTTGCGTTTAGTAGACGACGCAGATCGACTCTCACTGGTTACTTATTACTTAATTTTGGGCCATTTTTCTGAAAAGGGTGGAGGTTTGGCCAGTCATGAGGTCCGGCATTTGGGCCGACCGGCCAAGACTAAGCTGATCCAGTGATCCTAATGATGTTAGGTTGGGCTGGTCAATCCTAACTAATCTGATATTATTGGGTTGGATCGATCGAATTTGGGTTGGTTCGTTTTTTATTCTTCTTTTATTTTTTTTTTTTTTTGGGGGGGGGGGGGTATTTATTATTTTAAGCTTATGCCCATGTAAAATAACTTAAAAATGATTTATTTTCTATTTATAATTTAATTTTTTTTATTTGAATGAGCCGAAAAATTGGAGGGATTGAATCACAGTCCTGTGAGCCAATGACCAAAATGGTTTATATATCCATATTCCAATTAATAAGTAGGACAACACTAGTTTTAATGAAGTGCATTTTCTAACACATCAATCGAGGGCTGACTCGTTTGTGTATTAGCTGATTTGCTTCAGTATTGACGTAAAATCTAATCCCACAACCAGTACTTTGGAGAAAAAGGATTCAAGGGGAAAGTTATTACAAAAAAAAATACATTTGATAAGCATTTGATAAGAATACATTGAAAGGTTTAAAATGACAGCAACCATGAATTTTGATCATTTTGTGCTGCTGGTTGCTAAAACTAGGCTGATGAGATTATCATCCCTGTTCAAGGAACAAATTCCCTTTCTTGTCTTAATATATGAAATGAAATGAAGAAGACACGGCAAAATTATCCCAAAGGATAATTTGGGTATTTAAAATATAGCATTTCCTAATGAAATGGTAGCGTAGAGCTTATTTACTTAAATTGTGATAATTAAAGGGAGAAACTAGCACAAAATGAAAATCAGGTAGATAAATGAAACACTTCTATACAGAGTTTACCCTATTAATTAACTATTTGATGTCACTAGCAATAAGAATAGAACGAGTCTATGCTTAAGTGTCTCTATCCGAGTTTTTTTCCCCAAATATGATCTGATACCAATCTCTTATGCAATAAAGAGATGCATGCTGCTGAAGCAAATAAATAAAAGAAGAGAGATATGCACGTTGGGAAGGAAAGCTTCTCATTTATTTTCTTCAAAAGTTAATTAACTTTTGTTTTCTTAGGCTGCGTTTGAAAATGATGCAAATGGAGTGTAAATCCCGGTTCAGGGTAAATTTGTATTCTGGTTCACTTTTGTCTATGTTTCGCAATATTACATTTATGCATTGACAAATGACATAACACATTTTTCAATGTATATTTATATTGATAATGAGATGTAAAAGTACTTAAATAAAAAAGAAGTAAATTTGCATTCAAGTGGGCTTTTGATAGAAAAAGGCATATGCTTTATTGGAATTCATGTTTGCATCCATTACAGGTAGAAGTCTGTTTAATAAGAAGGTAAATTTGTCAATACAAAGTTAACCCAACTTTACAATTTATATGAACCATTCTACACTCTACATATTTGCATTGTTTCCAAACGCAACCATAATGAATTGCAGGAGTTTTGACATTTCTTTCTCTCTCTCTCTCTACTCTAAGTCGATAATGGAGTTGGTACAATACAATGAGAACACAAAGACTACCCCAGGAAAAGCCTACACCAAAATTGATTACCCGATCAAATTATTTTGTCCATCTTGTTTTAGGCATTGCATTGAATTCAAGAGGTTTTGTAGAATTTCTTTTCTCCCTCTAGAAGACCTACCTGTGATAGATGGAGCCTTCACTAGAAAACCCAGTTTCATCACATGACTTAAGAGACTTATTATTTAAGCATTATCCATATCAAAAAATGCACCAATTTTAAGCTTATTTTTTTGGACTTTTCTATGATGAATCCTATTTAGTGGTGGATTTTGTGTGCGTGTGTGTTTTCTTTTTATTGCATTTGTTTTCAAGCGTGGGAAGATTAGGAGATGTTCACCAATATGAAGTTTTCGAAACAAAAATAACACCCCTAAATTATAATTTGGTCATTAATTATTTTTTATTTTTTTTACATGCGCTATCAGATAGTAGAATATTGTAGAAGGAAGAAAGAAAGAAGAAGAATGGACAAATTAAAAGCTGGGGAATCCTCCACCATCACTAGTCCTGAAAGAACCTCAGCTTTAACATGAGAAGACAAATAACAAAACCCCCAAAAACAATGGTGTCCACTCATGGTTTAAGGGGCCAGCCACCAAAAGAAAGGTCAGAGATACTCATTGATTAAACTCATATGTCTCTTTCTGTTCACCCCTCCTAATGATGTGGGCGGTCCCTTTCTGAGAAGCAAGACCTAGCTAAAGGTCTAGGGACCATTTGACAATGGCTGAAGTGACTTAACTAAATCACTTATTGCTTCATACTTTAGCAAATTACTTAGTTGTCTGGCTCCTGCAAAGGGAGAAGGAAGGTGGTTGTTTAGATATGAGGTGTCAAGGCATTTATCTGCATTATATGGTAAAGATAAGTCAATAAGTAGGTTCTGATCTCCTTAATGGCTGAATGGTATGTTAGGTTGATTAGGCTACATTTGGCATTCCTTATTTTAAGGACGTATCTCCTTTTTTTGAGTTAAAAACTCGGTGTTTATAGGAACATGCATTTTAATTACAAAAAAGAGATAAGTCTTTAAAATAATAAGGAATGCCAAATGCAGCCTTAATACACCCCCATTTTTTTTACATGGCTATTTTATCCACTAACATCCTTTGTTTTGAAAAGTGCTTTTCTGATGAGAGTAGTGGCAATCAGAAAAATGSATTCAACATTTGTTAGGGATAACATGATCATAAAACTAATTTAGACATTATCAAAATTAATTTGAATCATTTTACAAAAAAAAAAAGGAAATTTGTTTTGATTTCTAAAAGAGAAGCAAGCAAAAGCACAAAAGAAAGCATTATTCTTCAGTGGAGTCAGACATCATGCATGCCCTACTCACAAGAGTAATGTTGTTAAGATTCCAATAAGATATTGATCTTGTGAGGAACTGGGTCTGACAGACACACAATATGGATTACCTCACAGACTAGAATTAATCTTGAAGAGATGATCATGGAAAGAAACATAAGGAAATGGAATTCAAAATGAGATTCGAAAGAAATGGTAAAAAAGTAATGATACAAAAGAAGTGGTTTTGAGAATCACAAACTTGGGGAGGCCTACTTCCCACCTCAAGTGTAGGAATCAGGACTTTATTCCGTAAATTATTTGTTTAGTGAAAGGGAGCATATCCCTTTACAAAAGAGAGAAGCTGGGGTAGACTCCACAACTCAACTTCTTTCTGCCACATAAAATGGCTAGAGTAGACTGTCTGATAAAGATTGACACAGTAAGCCATTAATTAATTCATGAAGATCCCTCTGGAAAAAGGTGGTGAATGGGTCAATTTTAGCAGTGAGGACCATCCCTTTGAAATCCTAGTGGCTAGACATTTCATTCAGAACATGGAGTAATCTTTCAAATTGATTCACTAAGCAATCCAGGGAGGTGGCCATCTGGAGTACTGGATATCAGTGTTTTTAATGCTCAGTTTGGAAAGAATATAAATACAAATATGTAAAATGTAAAGTCTTGTATTTTGTATGTATTTGCATTATACATATTTGTATTCATATTCCTTACAGATTGATTATTAACTTAATTTACAAACAAATGTATTGAAGCCACTGAAACACCGAATACAAGGAGTTAGGGGGGGGGGGGGGGTTCCCTCGTAACATGTATATTGTGAAAACCTTAGGCTGGGCTGGAGTACTACGTGGGGTTACTTGGGGCAGCTGGGACATGTATCGATCCCAAAATTTAGACGTGCTTCATCTTTTCATCTACTTGAATCTCAACCTTTCACTTTCTACATAACTGTAGGATTTTAATCTCATTAGAGATTAAATCCAATGGGTTTGATTTGTTAATTACACGAGAAATTGTACTTGTACATTTGGTTTAGAAAACAACTTTTCTCTTACTAAAACCAGTTTTGAATTTGTCCCACATTGGGAAATTACAAGTTTTGTTTTGAGTTTTTTAATAGGAGCTGATTTACATTCCTTAGAAATAGAAGAGGAGAGCATGGAGGATTGCTACCGTGCAATGCACGCCGTAATGAGGTGTTTTAAAGGCACACTTTGCTCGTGAAGGGTGACTTCAATTTTGGTACGATGCTGACCGTTGATGTGATCAACAGTTACGATTCAATCGGGTGTGATCAAGAGGCACAATTCAAAGTTAACAGTCATTAATTGTTAACTACCTTTTAAACATTGTGACTGTTCAAGGTGACTTTCTTTGAACTACCACCTTCATTTTCTTCATAAATCTTTAGAAACTATTTAAGGAGCATGAATCAGACATCTCACACACAAGTTC